TCCTGGCATCAAACCAAGCAGGCATAGCGTCAGTGAGGATGTAGAGGGCCCTCATGTCCGTCTGCACCGGTAACTGTGGGTCAGCGACCCAGTGATCACGTCTGAGCAGCATGCTCTGCAGAGATACATTGGGTCTGAACATTCCAGCAAGGCACAATGGAAATGAGTAGCCCTGGTACCAGACTGACGCATTGATAAGGCCGCAGAGGTACCCATGAGGAGCCGCAATGCACGTTGGCCGGAGCTCCAATGTCCAGACCTGCTGCCAACAGCAAAGACTCCCTGTTCATGCGTGACGGGAGCAGGCGGCAGAAAATGCGACCATCGAGCTCACGCGTGTCCAAACAGACAACGGTAGGCACTTGCAAGGTGACCGGAATGCAGATGACAGTGCCGAAGTCGTCTGCTGGTTGTGGCACCACTGGATACAAGACGCCATAAAGTGCCTGACGCCCGTCGTCCCGAGCTGCTGAAAGACGCGTCAGGGCATCAGGAACAGTGCACGGGACCGCCAGACTTATTTGAACCTGTTCCGGGCTGAGGTCTGGACCTAGCACAAGGAAATGCCAAGTGCGAAAGACCTGAGGCATGGGTTGCAAACCGGTCTCGGGTGGCGTAACCGCAAGCTGTTCAGGTTGTCTTTCGACTGGCTGGCGGGCTTGCCTAGGTTCCTGTCCCGCTATGGCAGCAGTGACCTGGGAAGGTCCTGCATAAGGCTGTCCCGAATCTTGAACGTCATTCCCCTTGCTGTGACGGTGCCGGGGCCACGGGAATGCTGGAAGCGGTCGGGCGCCGACAAAGCCACAACATAGGAGGATGCATATAGCAGTAGCAACGGCAGACTGGAGAATCAAGTTGCCACGCTCAACAGGCAGGGCATCGCACCATGATTGTGCCAGGATGGCAAGCCACAGAGGAGCCAAGTGAGAAGCAGGGCAGGCAGTGCTGGGAGAATCCTTGTCATTAGGGCCGACATCAGCAGGGGTGAGGTGACAGGTGTCCACAGGTAGGACGGCATCACGGGAAAGGCTGTCACGCCACTTGCCGGCAAACCCCGGAGTGCTAAGGAACCCAAAAAGGAGACTAAACCCCAAGCCTACCGCAGCGAAGGAGCAGCCACCACCACCGTATGACCTAGGCGAGCGGCTGCGGGGCCGTCTGGGAGGTGCTGGTGCAGTGGGGGCAGGGGGACCGGTGAAGGAACCAGAGGATGGCGGTGCATCATCACTGCCTTCCTCGGAGTCTTCTCGGCCGCGGTCACTGTCATGTCCTGAATCCTCAGATCGAAGGGGGTCCGTCATCAACCGATACGTCCGGCACAAGAGGCACTGCCCGGATGGTGACACCGTCACCGGACTGGGTGGTAATGAAGTCAGCATCCAAAGACCCTACGTCCCAAGTCAATTCCAGGTTGGAGGGTGGGTGGACTCCAAGCATGCTGAGGACAGTGGGTACGTGACGAGTGTCCCCGATCTGGTAGTGGAAGATGGGCCTCTGGCCAAGTGGCCGCACATCAAAGAAACAGACATTATCCTGTCGGGCTTGGCTGGCAGGACTTGCATCAGTATGGCACTCCACATCAACAACACAAGCGACCCCTTTGCATACATTGCCGTGCAGAAGCACGTTGTCAAGTCCAGAGGACGCTGCCTTCAGGAGGGGGTGTCTGGAGCTGGCCCCAACAGTGCGCGCAGCTGCTTCATGGGGCGGCTGTCCTGGATACTGGCGTCGGTCCAGGAAGTATCGCTGTGTTCCGGCAAGCAAACAGATGCCGGGCTTGACCAGGGGACGGGGAAATTGGTTCGATGGACCCCATGTGTTTCTGTCATTGCAAAGCCCAGCAAGGCTGCCTCTGCGAGGAGGAAGCTGACCCGCTGGTAGAACCAGGACAACAACTCCTGCATCCAGAGCTACCTCAGACTCATGATGGCAGGGGGCCGCGGCGTCCCCAATCCAAACTTGCATGGCCTGAGCGTCGTGCGTGGTGAGGGAGGCTGCAAACTGTCTGAGAGTGGCCTCATTATTTGTTCTATGTGGAAGGACACAAGCGAACATAAGACCATCAAGTCTGTGAAGGTCTAGTACCACAACTACATTCCCAGTAGAGGCAAGGCATGTGGGCTGCGCCACAACCGAAGCGAACCCTTGGAAAGGCTGTGGGACACATGGCACAATCACAGAGAGATCGTCATGAAAGTGTATCCTGGCAGATTCCTCGGCAAAGTGCAGGACTCGACTGCTGTCGTCCCACACGTCCATGGGCACCTCGGTATATGCCGTATGATAATGAGGCGCAAGGATCTGGAGCCCAAGCAGTGCTCTGCCAGCAAAACTCGAGACTGGCAGTGCTTCCGGAACCGAGCTGGATGCTGGCCGAGGTGGAGAGAAGGCCTCGACAGAATCCATGAGGCTGTCTAGACCTGGTGGAGCAGCCCACACAACAGTGGGGAGCTGGAAGCACAGCAGCAACCAAACCCACAATCTAGGTCCAAAATGAGAACCATTAGACAGCCCCTGGTGGCGTCGGTGCGCACGCCGACCTTCCCAGGCGATGATGGGTTGCCTGCAGGAGGCACATTCGGCAAGAGGTCGTAACAATCGGGGGTCAGACCATCCCTGCCCCGAGAGGACCTTTGGTCGGGTCTTGTGGGACCTGCGTGTTCCTCGACGAAGCAAACGCAGGAGCCCGAGCATGGCGCCGAAAGAGCCCGTAATGCAAAAAGAGACAACGTGGGAACTAAACCACCCTATGGCTAGTCCCCCTATCGACTCCAACTGACCTGGAGTGCCCCCTTGAAAGATGCAGGTCGCGACCCCAGAGCCACCGATGTCGCTGTTTGGCACCCTGCTTATAGATGGAAGGAGGACAACTCCGAAGTCGTGGTGGGAAGCGGTCAGGCCAGCAGAGGCAAGTCCAGGCGGCTGTGGCTGTGCCCAGACAAGTCCAGGAGGGAGGATGGAAGAAGGGTAGGAGAGGCATGAAGAGGCAATGCTGGGCGGCAAAAGTCCAATGCCAAGCTGCAATCTACAGTGAAACCGGGCCACGCAGACTGTGCGAATCCAGCCTACCACGTGAGTAGGGTCTTGTCCGAGGGTCGGCTGCTCCGAAGGGATTGTAAGAAACAATCCCCGCGTATGCGGGACCTCCAGACGACAACCTTCCCACAGGTAGGGGACTCCACAGGTCTGACAGGACCGTTCGCACTGTACATGGCCATCCACATTCAGTCTAGATCCTTCTCGTCTTGTCCTGATTCTGCATCTGCAACCTCGGAGACTTGTGAAGGACCAGTAGCAAGGCCTGGTGGCACCCCAAAAGGCATCAGGGCGTTCCGCCTCACCTGTAGTTTCGTCGCCAAATCTCCATGTAGGGTCGGCTTCTCGGGCGGTGTCTTGGAGGCTTCCTTGACACCCTGGCGATGTGCTTCGTGTTGGCCTGGCGGAATCGGAGAGGACCCCTTCGTTGGCTCCAAGGGCCCTTCCGGGGCCTTCGCAGAGACCCCATCCTCCGGAGGCTCGATGGTCGATCGGGGCGAAGATGAAGGGTAAGGGTCCGACCTCACACCACGGAGAGCCGGAGAGCAAGCATTGTATGTAGTCCTCGTCTCGCGGCTTGCCTCTCCAGGAGCATTGTGGGCGGGCTTGCTGGGAGCCGGAGTGCGAGCACGACGCCTTCCTTCCTGGAGGGCACGTTGGAGAACACCATCGTCCATGTTGTCGTGGTCCTCCTCCCATTCTCGAACCATCTTCGTCCAGTCGTCGTCTTCTTCCTCCGGCTCTTCGGCCGCTTCTTCCATGTCTTCGTCTTGGAAGGCAATCTGCCGGAGCAGTAGCCTTGCATGTCGCTGCTGTTCCCGGGCTTCCGTGATCTCCTTCTCGAAGTGCTCCAGGGCTTTCTGGTGGCGTTGCCTTTCGCGGATGTAGGCTTTCTGCGAATCCTGAAGATACTGCCGCCACTGTAGCTGAGCCTTGTCCTTGTCTCGGACAAGCTTGTTCAGCTTGTTCTCGGCTTTCCGGGCGCCATTCAAAGCTCGTTGCACCGTGGGGACCAAGTGTCCTTCGCTGTCCTCGTCCGCCTTCACAATGCTTGTCCTTTCCCCGAAGGGTTGGCCTTCCCACCGGACGGAGGGACAGCATCGTAGGCCGGGAACTGAGGTCGATCTGGCTGACCTTTGTTGGCACCTTTCTTCCATGGCCTCTGGCCATCGGACTTGGGCGGCTTCGCTCCACGCCACAACCCCGAGCGTGAGTAGCCCTCCGAGGCGGACCAGTCCTCGCCACGGGAGTCCCATTTGTCCCCTTTGCCCATGAGACCGCGAAGTCTTTCGCGGAAGGTGGCGTCCACGGAATGATGCCAGCAGAGGTGGTGTAGTGCTTTTGCACCCGGTCGTCCTCCCAAGCGGAGGGTTTGCCGTGTCTTAGCACGTCGCAGTCTCAACCTGCGATGCCAAGAAGGTGAGGCAGGATGCCGAGGAATGGCTGGATCCTGTCCTAACCCGTCGCACTTTCAGTGCTGGGGTTCAAGCAATTTCACCCCTGTGGTGAATGTTCCTGAGCCCTTATATATATATATATGTATATGTATATAGGGGCTTACATAATTCCAATACTTTTTGTTGGGGCGTCCTTTATACAGTAATGATTTTAGTATGATGTACCCCGAAACCCTATTCTGGTTATCAAGGCCCCTATATTGGAATCCCCGTACCCCGATTTCCCGACCACCGAATCTTTGAACCAGAGACTTTCAACTCCTGCATACTTTCCGAAGCCACAAGACATCAACTCCTACGCCGCAACTTCAGCAACCGAAACCCCCGATATCAAACCCAGGAAATCAAACCACACGTATGTGTAAATCCACGGAGTAAACCCGATGCTCTCGAAGCCTCCAGATCGCTTGGCAAACCATTTAACGAACTATGTTAGCCCTAAAGCCTCAAACCCAAATCAAAACACAACAAACGCCTAGGTCCTGAACCCAGAACGAGCCAGCAAACTGCGCCCATGTAGGCCGACGCCCAGCCGATGCCGGGAATGGCGAGCTGGGACCTTTGTTGAAACAGACTCCCTAAACCCCTAGCAGGACTGCCCAAGCTTAAGGTAGTAGAGGGCATTTGGCGTGTAATAGAGGATTCCAGGTAAACCCCTACTGTAAACCCTAAACCATTCCAGCAGGGCACTGAAGCTGTCTACTCAGGTTCAGTCCCTAAACACCTAAACCCTACACTTTAAACCCTAAACCCTGCACTTTAAACCCTCGCCGCAGGGCCTTAGACTTTCACTCGGCAGGGTCAAGAACTCAGGGTGGTATTTTTGCTTAAGGCTCTTTTCCGATTGCACGATCCGAAGGCCAGTTGAAGGGTTTAGGATTTAGGGTTTAGGGTTGAGGGTTTGGTGTTTCGGGTGTGTGGTCTGGGGCTTATCATGCATGGGGTTAAGGGAGAAAGGCCGGCTGGGCTTTTGAATAAGGTTTCTGATTTGGGGTCAACGGTCCCCGTAGGGTTTCGGGTTCCGCAAGGCTGAAAAGCTTATCGACGATACGACTATCCCGCACCGAAACTGTGATCAGTACCCCAAAGCTCTTGAACCCTTTTTGTCTACCTGAACTAGCTCCGAGCACGATCTTATTTGTTTAAGGCGTTTAAGGTATATCCCATAATTCAGGCGTGTTGGGCTGTCTGGACTATTGGCTGGGGGCAGCTACAGGAACCCAAATTAGCAAATACACAAAAGCCATAAGGATGGGAGATCCCGTCATCCTCTCTTGAAGTAAGCCTATAAGGTAGGGATATCCCACTCAGAAGTTTATGTTCGGGTGCTGCTTTAGTTCCTGAAACCGAGTAACGATCGGTACGTGCACTAAGGAGTCACGAGGTCGAAGCAATATAGGGGTCTTTATATCTTTGACAGGGTTTTGGGGCCCGTTCTACTGTAGCTATACGAAGGAACCCTGATAATAGTATAGGAAATGCTTCAGGCCCCTATAGTAGTTGTCTTTGGCAGGGGCTTCAGCTGGTGAAAAGGCCCTTAGCAGGATCCATAATATGATTTAAGGTATAATTCCCTAATTAAGGGGTATTGGAGTCTCTGGGTCAAGGAGTCTAAGGCACCCCAGGCCCTTCATTTTTTTGAGGGCTCCTTATCTTATGGCTACGTGTGGAAGCATGGATTGGCGAGTCTGTGCGAACCAGCACGACATGATTTTCGGGTATAGTGTGCCACGATCACCAAACGGCTGTGGGGGAATCCCAGAGACTCCAATACCCCTTAATGAAGGAATATACCTTAAATTATAGTAGGGTCCCGAATCTAATTTAAAGTATATTCCTTAATTAAGGGGTGTTGGAGTCTCTGGGATAATCATGCAAACTGATTGGCGAGACTCCGAAATTCAGATGCGGGCTGTTGGTGGTGCAAGTGCCATCACCCAGCAAGCCCAATGGCCTGAACTTCAAACCCAGAAACCCTACGATGTAAATCGTAATCCCTCAACCCGATAAACGCTAAACTCTACTCGGTAATGTCAAACCCCCATGAACTTGAAACACGGCAACCCTACGATCTAAACCTACAAAACTCTAAGCCTCAACCTCCTACACTATTAGTTTAAAGCCTATCACCTAAGTCGTTGTCCCTCAGCCCTCATGTCCTAAACTACTGCTGATGGACAAAAGCCTGCATTACCCATTATAGGGAATATACCATAGTTCCCATAGTTTAGAACCCTTAGGGTCAGGCAGGATAATGTCCATCAGCAGCCAGGCTTATTATTGGGGTAACTATACTTCTAATTGCTTATAACCCCAATTAAGGGACTTATAACTACAGTTACTAAGTCCCATGATCGTAATGCCCTACTCTAAGGCCCCAAAGTAGTTCCTTTTTGGGGTTCATATTTAGAATCCTATAAGGTAATCCCCAAAAGGAACTACTATGGAGCCTCTCGGTAAACTTTAAATCCTCATCCTGAAGCTCGAAATCCCAAGACAGCAGAAGACACGAAGCCAAGCGACTTCGCTACGCAGCCGGACATGCCCCAAGTAACCCCATGCAGGCTGAACGCCTGGCTGGGATCGGGGGTTGGGGTTTGGTTTAGAAGGGATGGGTAGGTTTTAGTTAAGGGTGTGAGATAACTCAGAGAGTCCGATTAAGGTTCACAAAAGAGCTTCTAACTGGGTCTTCGGTTGCAGTTGGGAGGATCGGAGGGCTAACAGGTTGCCTTTTGGGGGAGTAATATAGCATTGATTAGACACTTGGACCAGAACACATTTGAAGATGGTGCCCCGCATCACTGAATGGTGGGTGTGTCGGCGTTACAACAGAGTAAACACCGAAACCCTCAGCCCTAAACCGTAAACCCTAAACACCTACGTAAACCCCAAACCCTCAACCCCAAACCCTAAACCCTAGACCCTCAATCCTAAACCCTCAATGCTTCTCTGCCTCGACCAGGGAGATGTGGTTGGGCACCAGGATTGGGTGTGGACCCGGCTTCTGAACCCACGCCAAGCGCTCCTTGTTGAAGACCTGGCGAAACAGGCCCGCAAGGCTCAACCAAGCACGTGGGATTTGGAGGCCGTAGCCAGAAAGTTAAAACGTAGTACGCATATACTGGAGCAGGGAGTAGGATTGATAGATTAGACTTAACCCTGAACCGTACTAGTGAATCCAGTCACCGCTGCTTTAAGGGTTTCTCTAAACCCTAAACCCCCCACCCTGTATCTTTGAGGGTGCAGCGACTCTAAAACTCCTTCTAGGTAAGGAATATGCCTGAAATCTTGTCAGGATTCAGGGTTTTTATAACACTAGGTTCCTGAGTCAACCAACAAGGGCAAAAGAGTACTACTCAGGAACCTATCCCTGGGGCTCTAAGGACTCATATATTAAGGCTTTTAGGCCCAAAGACCGTGCTATATAAGGCTAATGGGCTATTTTGAACCCCCTGGTATGATAGTTCAGGGGTATGTACTTGAGTTGAGGGGTTTTGGGGTCTGGGAGGATCCTTCCCTCCTACTTTGAAAGGGTATAAGGCTTATAGGGTTTAGGGGAGCCTAAACTCCTCAAGCTCTGAACCTGAAGCCTTGACGACTGAAAAACAAACCCAACAGCCAATTGAAGGGCTTCCTGTAGAATTCTAATGTAGGGGCCTTAATAATTAGAATAGGGTTTTGGGCTCCTTTTGGTATAGTTCTGATGAGGAACCCTAGAAGAAACGGTGTTGGTACTTACTTCTATGTTGTATATATCTATCTATCTATCTATATCTATATATATATATATAGGTGGAAACCCTAAACCCTAAAACCCTAAACCGCTCAGACAGCAAACCAAAAGCTCTTAGTATCACGCATGCTTCGAGGTCGAGCCGATGTGGCTCGGCCATTGTATAGTTTAGGGTTTTGGAAAGAATACCGACTACCCTAAGGCTCCTACTAGGGATTCCTTAAAGGGATCCCTAAGGGAGGGTTTAGGGTTTAATTAGGGGTTTAAGGTTTGGGGTTAGGGTTTAGGGTTTAGAGTTTACCCTAAGGCTCCTAATAGGCTAAGGGGCTTTGTGGGCGAGGGTTTGGGCTTTGGGGGCTATTAGGTTTAGGATCTGACTACGAGGGTCCAGGAGCATTAGGGTAGGGTCCAAGCCGAATCCCGAAAGACCAAACTCTGCGACAACGTCTCCGCCGCGGTGGTTTAGGGCTTATAATACTATAGGGTTTAGGGTTTAGGGGTAAGCGGTTGATGCGCTTCCGGCGGGCCCTCTGTGCCTGCGCCTTGGTCTTTCCTGGGCACAAGGCATCGAAAGCTTCTTGCACGATGAGCCCAGAGAGCCCCATACCCCTTAACTAAGGAATATGGCTTAAATTATATAGGGGTTCCTATTGTGATTTAAGCTATATTCCTTAATTAAGGGGCATTGGGCTCTCTGGGGAATGCGTACAATCACAACGAAGGCCCATGTGACTGAAGCACCATTTGGGACTGTCGGAACTTGTCAAAGCCCACAACTGTTGTTGATATAAATCCTGCATTACCTTAAGGACCCTAAACTATGGGATTTATGGTATTTTTCCTACGACTATAGGTGATGCAGGATTTATATCATCAACCGCAACCACGACAGGCATTCCATTGACGAAGTCCTTCGGCTCGTCGACATTCCGCGTCGCTGGGAAGGTGCAGACCTTCATACCCACAGGCTCCATGTACCCATATAGTAGATACTTAGGCCTTAAAGTAGCCATATAGAGACCCCTTTAAGGCCAAAGTACCTACTATACGGGTACATGGAGTCTTAGGGATAGAGAGGCAGCGGCAAAGATCGCGGTGGTCGATCTAGCAGCTTGCCACCGTCGTCGTACTTGATTGGGTTGGCCTCGTAATCAGCTGGGATTTTGCCGGCACGGTGGGCTCTACGAACAGAGCGTCCAGGCAAAGACCGTTAACGCGAGCTGCTTCTCTTCGCATGCAAGTGATGACGGTGGTCTCGTTGTTGGTGCGCTGCAGCAGCGAGCCATATTGTTGGGCTTCGGGTTCATGTCCAGGGTTCCGAATTAAAGGTTCGAGGTAAACTACAAGCTTATTGCTGGGGGGTGACGGTAGGGGTCTTTTGTTGGCTAGCACGCGGTCGTATGGCTTCATGGATATCTAGCCCCCCCAAAAAAACAAAAACAAAAAAGTAAAATAATGGCCCCAAAACCATAAAGGGCCATTATTCTGCGGTCCAGGTATGGCCTTCTTGGTTCCGCTACCCTAAAGGATCCTCGACCTGATTTTAGCTTAACCCTAAACCCCAAACGACCCGAAACCTAAAACCCTAGACCGTAAACTTGGATGTATGGGGAATCCATTATTGTGCGGTAAGATGCGGCGAGAATACGTACCATCGAAACTGTGAAACCTGAACGCTGGACTCAGACCCTAAGCCCTAAACTGCCTCAACTCCTAAACCCTAGAAACCCCCACAACCTAGCTAGTCCGTCTTCGCCTCGCCCCACATATCCCTCGTTGTTAGCACTTTGGGGTGCCTGGTGGGAGGGGATGAGTGCATGATGAGTGCGCAACCATAAGCTGTAAGCCCCAAACGCCAAACCGTGATTCAAGGCTTCGAGTACTGCAGGTTCGATATTCGAGCTACAGTTCAATGGTGGTTCAGAGTGTAAGGTTTAGGGCTTACAGTTGAGTCGTTTAGGGTTTTCACGCTGCACCTCAACAGAGCGCTTCTTGGAAAGTTCGCAGGCTTTTGAAAGAAGCTCTGACCACGAAGCTGCCTGCACGGCATAGGTGGCGCAACAGCTGCACAGGATCTTCATGATCACGTGGAAAACAAGGTCCACAAGCCCTGACGATGCAACGGTGCCGGGTTTAGCGTTTAGGGCAGGGACCATGCACTTTTCTAGAATTAGAAGATGATTTGTTCCAGAACGAGGGTTCGCAAGCCTGAACACAAGAGCAAGCCTGAACAGAGATTGCCAATTAGTCCGACTACTATTCCACAAGTTTGGCAGTATCTGGTATCTACGGCAAGGCTGTGTGAGCTCCTAACACATTAAGACGTGAAATCCCTGAGCCGTAAACCTATGAGCCCTTAAACCCTATAAACCCTAAACCCTATAGTTCCCTTTAAAGGACCCCTTATAGATCCCTTTAAATGAACCCTAAACCCAAAAAGCCAGAATCGAGATGGGACCTTTGGCCCGCAAGCCTTAGACTGCACAGACCCTCAGTTCAAAACCCAAAGGTTTAGGTTTTAGGGTGTACCAAGACCCCCCCTAGTGCCCTGAATACAGCCCTTATTGGAGGGCATTGGGGGGTCCAGGTACTTAGGGCTTCTAGGTTTACGTTTTACGGGCCAGGGTGTGGGTTTCAGGGTTTATGGAACCTGAAATTATGGGGACCCTTAGCAGGCCGGGGCGGAGGGGGGTTAGGGGACTATACATCCTGAAAAAAGCCTTACTAGGTTCGTATAATGGGCATTAAGGCCCCCTACCCCCCCCTTCCCCCACCTCGCTAAGGGTCCCTATGATGAAACCGTGGACAATCACGGTTTATGCAGCCTCAATCCATGGAGAGTTTCCTGGAGCTTCAGAGCAGGTCATCGTGGGCAATGTATAAAGGCCAGGAAAGGTTTAGGGCTTAGTTGCCCGAATAACCAAATGCCTGCTGTTTTGGGGTTGATACCCGATTAATTAATTTTGAAGGGTTCATAACTTAGCAGGAGCTAGAAGTTGTGGCCATCTTTGTAGCAATCCCCATTACCCAGAGGGTCCCAACATGTCCCAAGCACCTACGTCGTAGAATGTAGGGTTTCTGATTTCTACAAGTAGGAATTCCTGTTATGAGTTGGGAAAGTATCCCCCCATAACAGTATCCTAAAACGCTAAAACCTTAACCCTAAACCTACGGTTCCTTCAAGGGTTCAGTAAGGGTTCCTTCGAGGGTACCTTCTCTAAGGGTCCAAGTATTCAAATAGTAGGGTTTCAAGGTCCAAAAACCATTCGGAGCATGGATTTTAGGACCTATAACCCTACTACTTGGGTACTTGGACCCTCTGGGCTTTAAACCCCAAACCGAACCCTAAACCCTAAACCCTAAGCCCTGAACCGAGGACGCAATGAGTTTCGGGAGCCCCCCGGAGGACTCCCGCTCGAGCCGAGCAGCGCTGCGGCAGGGACCCAGGCGTCAGAAGTGAGCCGAGGCCTCGGTACTTAAATCACCCTAAGGGTCCATGTACTCATAGAGTGAAGGGTCCTTTAAGGGTACCATAAGGGATCCTTTAAGGGATCTATAAGGGTTCGATGAGGGTTTAGGGTATAAGGGTCCATGTACTCATATAGTATATACATTGGCCTTAATGTAGTCCCTAGATAGGTACTTTGGGGCTCATGTCCCTCGATATTGGGTACATGGACCCTTAGGGTTATGCCTCGGTACCATACCCAGAGGGTCACTATACTATTATGGAATTAGGCCCTAAAAGACCATCCCCATTATGGTTTTGGGGAACCTAATTCCATAGTAGTTGTGTATATGTGGACCCTCTGGGATATTATATGGTTTATAATGAGGGTCGGTTTGGGGTCTTCGGTTTAGGGTTTATAACGGGTCCTTAGTACCTAAGCTTTCGGGTTCCCTTTGAAGGGTGTTGTATGGTTTGGGTTCGGAATATACTCGATTATAAAACCCACCCCTATATTAGCGGTTCATGTCAGGCACATGAACCATAAACATTTCTTAGGGTTTGGGGTTTAGGTTTAAGCTAACACTACCGGCTATGGCTTTCAGGCAGAGGCTATTCGAGATATATAATACCCAAAGGCCGCATAAATTGTAGTCACGTAGTCCGTGCAAACCCCGAAATCGCAAAACTCCTCTACCCCACCAAAAGTCCAACCTACGGTTAAAACCCTTGAAAATAAGACTGGGCTTTGCGGCCAGAACTGCAGTACTTGGAGTTTCAGCGGTAGGGTTTACGGTTTATGTTCATGGGATGTATGTTCGATGTGAACGCAGCCCTAAGGAGCCAAGCTAGTGGTGGCCGCCGGCCTTGAATGCCCCTAAACTTTGACAACCCTATAAACCGTCAACCCTTAAGATCATAGAACGGAGCTTGGTCTGTTCAGCTCGGCAGAACATTCCGAATGTCGTTCCAAGATTAAGCAGCTAGCTTGTAGTTTACAGGAACTTAGGGTTTAGGGTAAAGCACTAAACCCTACAGTTATATATACCCTAAACCCTAAACCAAGCCTTATAACCCTAAAGACCAAGCCCTACTAAACCCTAAACCCCAAACCCTAAAGCCCAAACCCTACATCCAGCACCTCACCCCGCTTTGCAACCTCGGAGCGCACCAGCAAGCCTACAAGGACAAAGAAGAAGATGAACGCAATGAGGCGGAAGGGCAGTAAACCTTGGGTTTAGGTTGAGGGCTTCAGGTTTTAGGGTTTAGGGGTTGGGTTTACAATGACCTCCAAATACCCCTTATGGAGCCACTGTGGTCCTGAATAAAGGGTATTTGGTGCTTTCATGGTACTGGGGGTGTACATAACAGAACGTAGTTTTCGGGTCCACATATGCAGTTAGCTGCATGCATTCTGCAGGGAACTAGGCATTCAAAACCATAGCGGACAAATAAACATACCTGCGTACCCTTCAATGAACGAACAAGAAGCCACATCCAACAACTTCTTCAACCAACAGCTGTCCATAAATAGCCTCTTTTCAAGCTCTTACCTGCTACCTTATGCTCCTTTACTTTATGGAAGGAACGGTATGTGCATAATACATACATAGGCTTACATAGGTACATACACACACATACTGCAAGTCTAGCCTAGTTTGAGTCCGATCCTATTCACAACTTGGTTCTGGCTGGTCAAGGTAGACCCCAGCCCTTGTATCGGCATCCGAGGTTCGGAAAACAAAGTCCGAAACCTTGAAATCCAAATGCACGCCGTTGGTTTAGGGGTTTAGAGGCTTAGGGGTTTCAGGCAACCGATCACACACACGCACACACACACACACAACCCGGACCCTCAGCCCTGAAAGATTGAAACCTTACACATGAGATCCTGAACCCCGCGAACTTAAAACCCCCAGCCCCTAAGCCAAAAACCATATCAACCCCCCACCTAGACCCCCAACTACCATCTAAATATACACCCTCATATCCACTATTCGGGACCATAAGGGCTCTATTAAAGGGCCGCTGAGAGGCCTTGGATATCAAGCCCCTGCAGCTTCCGGTCTATCGGAAGACGAAGCTTCCCCCAAGCTCCAGTTAACTAGATCATGGTTAGTCCGTAGCCCTTGACCCTACACCCTCGAGCCCTTTCGACTGAGGCACCAGTCACCAGGGCAAAGACCAGTCTGAGGCAGTGCGGTTGGTCAAGGTTTAAGGTTTGGGGCTCCGGGCTTGGGGTATGGCGGATTGAGGGCTTGAGGGTTTAGGGCTTTAGGGTTTATAGAAATTATTAAGGCTTTGGGTGCCAAAAACGTTTTGACCGAAAGTCTTGACCGAAACGTTTTGGCCAGGTTTTGCGATTGAAGCCTGATATTGGAATGAGCGGAAAGGGGCTGGGGCTGGGTTTTCCTTTGGGTCCTGGGAGGGAGTTGGCTCCTGCTTTTGCGACCTGCTTTTGGTGGCTTCACATGGCCGGGGACTGGCAGGGGGCCTGCAGGGCTGGGCTGGCTGGGGGGCTGGTTGGGGGGTGCAACGCCCACTCGAGCATCTCAGGCCCACACGGACCACCTGCATTGTGCGTGAATCGCGCCATGATAGCTTCATCTCGTGTTACGCACTATACGACTTTAGCTCTGGTCGTGTTGAGACTGTGTTGCGTTTTACGCAGACTTGTTGGACCGACGTCTTAACCGTAAAGTATATGTGGATCGTTGATACATCGACGATTAGGTTTTCCACTGAAGTTGCGACCGGAGCCGAAACGGGTTGTGCGCCCAAGATCTTGACTGCACTTCGTCAAAGTTGCGCTGTCCAACCGTTCAGGTGCATTTTGAACCATCGTGCAGTTGAAACTGTGGGCCTCCATATTTCGTGCAGCACCAAATAACAGCCGGCATCCCGAACTCTTTTTTTTCACTTCTTGCGGCGCACACACTGCAGCGGTTGCTCAGACCTGGCAGTCAGAGTCGCTGGACGTCTGTGCCGGACAGTTGGGATCGAATGTGTGGCCCGGCCTCATCTAGTAGGTCATCTTCCCAAGCCCACACTTGGGAATAGAAGCTGTGGCGCCACCGGTAGCAAGACGGGTCCGGCAAGCCCGCCACTTCTTCGCCTCACCAGGTGTGGGATGAGTTGCCGTCCTGACTCTGACAGAGCTGAGTGCGACACAGACCCAGCCATCCTCTTTGAGAATGTCGAGGCCTTCTGGATCTTGAAGACACCCTTGCAACAGGGTCTGTCAGATAACCATTGCAGACATGTTGACGCGTCCAAGAAGCTCCCTGCGCGCAGCTTCTCCCGGATTTCGCGGATCTTTCGCCATCGCGCTTCTGCAAATTCCTACACGTAGTACAGACGGCCTGTGGGCCGGGTGCAAAAAATGCAGTCGGCACTTCTTAAGCTCCGCTACAATTAGCTCTCGGCTCCGGGCGTTGCTCGTTGCCGTCGGCTGCTGTCCACTTCTTTAGCCTGGCACGGAAGCAAGTCACCGACAAGACTCGTATTGCAGGAAAAGGTGGGCACTGTTTTGGTTGGAGCGTGTTGCGGAACGCCTTGTCTGCGGCTCGGTTCTGCCTGGCGTGGGTCTAACGAATTAGGCACTCTGATTGTACCCGAATCGGTCTGAGAAGCTGGCTGCACATAGTGTAATGCCGGGTAATCGTCCATCCTGCGGGGCGTAGCAGGCACGAGATGGTATATGGAGTACAGCTATATGTGACCCTTTGCGCGCCTGACGCAGGGCAGCGCAGGAGTGGAAGGATCACAAAGGTGAGGCTAGAACCCTTTCGGCTGGCTAGTTTGATCTCAGCGGGCCGACGAGACATAGTGAAGCTTCGAGACGCATGTTCGGTCCAATGTAGAGGTGGAACCGAAAGAGAAAGTTTTGTAGGTACCCCCCCGGACCCCCCTAGCCAGATGCAAAAGACACACCAATGGTGACGGGCTTATGCACCAGGCTGACAGTTATAGTGTGTGTGAAGCGTAGTTTTACCCTCCCCGTGCTAATGGTCAGCGGCGCTCTCGGCAGTTTGGGCTGCAGGGTTCAGGAGTTCAGGGTTTAGGGCTTTAGGGGTTTAGGGCTTGAGGGTTTAGGGTTTATGGGCTTTAGGGTTTAGGGCTTGGGGTTTAGGGTCGAGGGTTTAGGGTCAGAGACTTGGAACCTCATTATCCTCATCCGCTTAAGGACAAGTCTGTAACGTAAAGGAAATCCCAGCACAAATCCCTTCCCCCAATATTAAAGGGCTGCCCCCCCCTCCCCCTTATATTAAAACTGGATTTCGGGGGCTTGGGGTTTAATAATAGGGGGGGAAGGGATTAATGACTAACCATCCTAGAGCTCCATGTTCCGACTTTCTGTGGTTCAGCTTGGAGGGTCAAGTGCCAAGGTTTTAGGGGTTCGGGGGCGTGTAAACTTTGTGCTGCAGGTAGGGGGTTGTAGGAAGGTGGAAAGTGAAAATGGCCAATGTTATCTGCATGATCATTGCTTCATACCTGACCAACCGTGCCTGCTACTCAGAGAGCTAGCATCAAAACGACCGTAGGGAGTTTAGCGATAGTGGCCAATGTGGCCCCCAACGTGGTGCAACTTCAAGATCAGTGCAAACCATCACCTGATTGCAAGCGGCTCCTAAGACTGACGTTGACCGAAGACTCCCACAGTCGAAAGCCTTTAAGAAGTCATAGAGAGAACCGCGACTAAGCCTTAAGCAAACCCCAGTAAGATTTGTCAATCACGCCAGACACCCCAAACCCTAAACTCTCGACACTAAACCTATAAGCATCCGTATGCCTAAATCCTAAACCGCATGAAACCCCTTATTAGGGTAACTTAAACTAAATCCTAGACCCTTAAATGAAGCCTTGTAGATCCTTTAAAGGAGCCCCTAAACTCAGCCCAGTCACTTGAGTATGGCCGTGCATGGCCAGCCAGGAGTGTCATAGTCGTAAACTTCGTGACCTTGCCCCACTGGCGCCTGCACGAGGTCCCAGAGACTCCAATACCCCTTAATTAAGGAAT